TGTATAAAATTCTGTAAAAAAGTCATGATAGACGTCTACCATAAATTTTAACCGAGGTCAAAAAGGAGGATTTTCAATTCGACCGTATATATTTTTATTTTTTTTATGATAGCTTGAGGTATAACTTCGTCATTTATAAACCGATTTTGAAGATTTTTTTTTTTTTGTTGGAAAGGAGATATCCCAAGTGTGGTACCATGATAAGGAAACCCAGATCTGATGATGGCATCCCAGAGAAATCCAGGGCAATCCACAAATGTTATAGATGTTAACAATGTTTCTAGTTTCCTGTTTGAAGTCGGTTTTTTTGTTCAAAATTACAAATTTTAGTTTTGGATTATTTGTTGAACTGACGCTATAATATGTATGTGTCTAAGTGTTTATTACTTCAAATGTTTGTATTACATTATTATATTATCTCCAAGCAAAACTTCATTTAGGTACAACAATGCGAAGATTTTAAACCGCGTATAACTTTCACATTTATTAATATCAGTGATAGTTGAAGTAATATATTAAAATTAAATATTCACCTATCAATATTCCGAAAATGTTTCGTACTAAGCGAAATCATTTAGCGTACGCCGACACAAATACTTCGCTCCAAAGTCGTCCGTATTTTGGCAATCGTGCGAATTCTTCTTACATTATGCATGAGTGCCATTGACTTTGTCGCGTTACAGGTTAACTTTAGACGTCTAGCGTGTTGAGTAACCCCGACAGTGAAAGTATCGATACGATTTATATATAATTTAAGATATCTTTACCATTAACATCTCAGATCATTAGCATAGGTGTAATGATTAAGGTATTATTGAATAACAATTTTAAACCATTGGTCCATTGGTACTTAACTTACTTTCGTAATAATTTATATGTCTGATCTTAGCATTTAATTCTTACTTATTAAACTTATTAAGTCCAAATAAATTTTCAGTAAATGTTTAAAAATTATATTTTTGTTTGATGTCATTTTACTTGCAGTAAATACTTAATAAAGTTTATATATATCCAGAGCTTTTCCCTTGTCATAATTATACAAATAATCTATCTAAAATTTCAAAAAGAAACGCATTATTGAAGGGTGTCAATAAATTTCCTTTAAATAGGTATTAACTCTATAGTTCCCAATAGTACACAGCATTAATACAAAATTGCAATGTTTTGCGAATTCACTAGTAATTTAACTTTTAAAGTTACTTAATAATATGTAATTTAATTTTTTATCCACTAATTATGAATATAATTATTAAAAAAAACTCAGATGGTGAGGAATGGAACATAAGTTTTAAACAGACAGTCAACAATGAAACACCTCACCTGGTGGTAAGCATCCATTGCCAGATACTGAAAACAAAGTTGCAAACGCGTTGCCTGGCCTTTCGGAAAATAAAGTGTTTATTTTCATAGACGTCCCTCGGCCTTTTTTAACCCAAGATTAACTCTATGCTACTTGTCTAATTTTCGTCAATAGCGGGAAATATATATTAAGTTGTGTTTGAATCAATAAATTTCATGAAGATGAAGATGGAAGCCGCGGAAACATTTTAAACTTCTCCTAAAATTTCTATGAATTCCATTTCTTCTGTATCGCTGCACCTAATTAGTTTATCTTTAAACCAGCCTTTCAATTCTCTATCGTTATGATCCCTTTACATTCCAGAGATCAGTCCAGTAGCTCTTAAGGTCGCCTGGATTAGGTAGATCATAGGTTTTGTTATTGGTTACCTTTACACTTAGAGTAAATTTACGCTGCAGCGCTCTTTTCTGTCTAAGTAATGTTTGTGATTTAAGTGCCAACTTTATTTGTTTATGCTGAATGAACTTTGTTTGGAATATTTTTTCGAATTGAAAATATGAACTAACTGATATAAATATTTACTTTCTTTTAGTTTGGTAAGTTTCAGTCTAAAGTAATCTTAACATAGTAGCTTTAGAAAGTCTTTTTTTTTGTGAGAAAATGATGATGTGAAGCTGGCGGCTCACCTGATGTTAAGTGATAACCACCGACCGCGGTCATTTACAGCACCGGTTGCAGATGTGACGCTCTATATATATTAAATATATTTCATATATATTCATAGCGCTATATGGGCAGGTTCATCCGGGTCCCTAATGTGGGACCCGGATGAACCTGCCCATTCGTGCAACAGTGAATACTGTTGCGTGGTTCTACCACGGTTAGGTAGGTGGTTGACCTACGCACACCTTGACAATGAGACTTGTCATGGTAAGTGTGCATGCGTGCATGCGTGCGTGCGTGCGTGCGTACGTGCGTGCGTGCGTGCGTGCGTGTGTGTGTGTGTGTGTGTGTGTGTTGGGTAATTTCAATATTTGAATGGATGGAAAAATGGTCTGGTTGTGAAGTGGGACGAGGGTATATTATCGATAATTGTGTATTGTGACTGGCTTATAGTAACTCATATTTCTTCTTGATTTAGTTGCGCTGAAATTTCTTTAAGAAGGTCCTCAATGAATTTGTCTAGTAGAAGTTTATTACTAATGCTGACTCTTCTTTGGTCGACAATGTGTGGACCGGATATATTTAGGTACGGAAATTTTAATTTAAATTGGTCAAAAAATTTTTTTTCGTTACATTATACCTGTGTTATCCGTGTTTAATAAATGCAACATTTTTTGAAATAAAACAATAGACTAGCAACAAACAGTTTAATTTGATAACATTGTGAAAATGAATAAAATAAATTAGTGGTAAAATTTTAAATTTAAATAAATAATTACATTATACAATTTTATTTACATAACCTATTATGAGCAACATCTTACAACTTTTTCAAAATAAATAAAATTTATATATTATAACAATGAGATCAGTGAGAAATAGATTATATATGTGTGTATGTGAATAAACAACTCCGATTTCGAACATAATACTTGACGGAATAAAATTATTTTAATGTAGATAAATAAATATAATAAATGCAATACGCTATTTACATATTTACATAATATTTATTTTATATTATACATGATTACATTAATACTCATACATACTATATTTTCCATCCATACATATTTTATAATGTTTATATTATAATACTGTCATATAAATACATATAATTAGATTTTGAATATATTCTTATTACAAATTGGATACATAAAATAGTCATACAATGTTATACTTGCTTATTAAATTTGTTTACGTAATATACATATTGTTTAAAGCAATATCCAAAGTCTGATTTAAATTAACCTATAAATACTATATTTAGATACATATATAACTTCATACATTAACTGGTCAGTATTTAATACGTAACAAAGATATTTATATAATTGATATTAAGAGTATTGAGGTACTTTAAATAACTTACTAGAGGGAAATATGAATAAGTCTACTACGTTACGTTCGTGTCCATTATATCTAAGCCCTTGTTGCCAGTTATATGAAATTGTTACATATCAGATAACTACGAAAAATAAAACGGTATATTAACTCGATATTTGTCGGTTTCCTATAAAACGATTGTACTCAATTTTTCCGCTTCAACTGAAATTTAGATTATGAATCTCCCAACAGTATAATCGTTTTTGAACTAGGCTCTACTATATTTTTTTATTTTAAATTGATTCACTATTCCCTTGTCCATACGTGAACGTTATATAAATAGTGCTTATAATAATTTAGTTTTCGTATATTAGCATTACTTTATAGCTTCTTTGGTGGGTTGGTCGACTATTGGGCGTACGCACTGTACGCTAGGTCTTGGGCGTTGTCAAGCGATCTGTAACAAATATTTAAAGCTATCAACCGCGCGATACTACCATGAATGCGTAAGACACTAAAGGTGAAATCAACCCATTGACATACACATAACTCATAGTATGTTTTTTGGCAATTTTCATTCATAAATATCGTTGTTTATGTTACTTGCGTTTCTCGGGTAGATTTATAGTGAGGTACCTAATGTCATATATTTGTAGTTTTGACATTACGTGTTTACAGGGAATAAATATGGTAATCAATTAATATCTCAAGTAAATTTGGTAAGGTAAGGTTATATATTTCTTATAAGTAAGGTTATATATTTTTTCTTATTATTTCGCAAATAAGCAGGTTTCATATTATAATATGCAGATATTATATTCGTGATAAAGTCTTAAGTGCTGACTTAATTAGTGCTGAATTAACAATTCCATTGGTGCTGGCACCTGAGATCGACCTCAGGTTGCTCGAGTATATTGAATAAAAGGCGAGCGCCCGGACACTTCGCTATCAAAGCTCTTTGTTGTTATAGCGGCAACAGAAATACATCATCAAAATTCAACTGTCTAACTATCACGGTGATCAGCCTTGTGACAAACGGACAGACGGACAGACGGACAGACGGACAGACGGACAGACGGACAGACAGACAGTGACATTTTAGTACTAGGGGTCCGTTGTATCGTTTGAGTACGGAGCCCTAAAAATCAATGTTCTTCTCGCTTTCAAAACAATGAAAAATTATTTTATGGCAATTCCATTTTGTCACAATATTTGCGGTATAAACGTTAATTACGATATAATTCAACATACTTCTGCTAATTTTGCAAATCTTGTTTATATTTAGTCAGTATTTAAAAATAAATTCAAATAACCCAAACATTTTAGATTAAAACAACAAACATACGCAATAAAATTTGTGATCCGATACTGTTTTAACCGACTTCAAAAAAAAGTTCGACCATATATATTTTTATTTATTTTTATGTGTGTTCGCGGATAACTTCGTCGCCTATGAACCGATTTTGATGATTCTTTTTGTTGGAAAGGAAATATCCCAAGAGTGGTACCATGATAAGGAACCCCGAATCTAATGATGAAATCCCAAAGAAATCGATGACAATCCTCAAATTTTATAGGTATTAACAATGTTTTTAGTTTTCCGTTTGAAGTCGGTTTTCTTTTGTTTAAAATTATAAAATGAGTACACATCTTGTATCTACGCTGAGGGAGAATACCTTCAGATTTCTGGAATATCTCAGGCGTTGACTTACCTGCTCCATCCGGAGCCGGCGTGACCAGCGGAGACCACGACCTCGTGGGCCTCGCCACCGCCATTAGAGGACAACAGTTTCTTCAAACCGATTATTCCAGCGAGGACCAAGGCCAGTTTCGAGACGATCAGCGCTTTGCCGGCGAGAAGTGCTAGTGCACCGAACGCTAGCGGCACCATCATCCCGCCGATGAGCAGCGGGATTGCCAGAAGTGGGGCGAGCTTCTTCCTCCTGCCACGACCCTCCTCGAACGCGCCTTGCAGGTCCGAGCCTGTCGGAAACTTGATCTGGAACGTGACGAGTTCAATCGGTGAATAATTGATTTCTTGTACCGTTAAAATGTAAGCGGAGTCATTGTGCAATGGAAGAACTAGATTAATGATAATTAACACAAATGAAAATCAAATGGATTAACCTGGTTTAAAATGTAGTTAATTAGAAAAGAAAACTTTGGAAAAAGAAGTTGAACTGACTGCTAAACATTATAATTAAGTATAAATCAAATGTCAATTTATAAATAGCATGTTAAACAATTTGTCATGTTTTAACCTCGAGATACCAACTATCTTTGAGTTGCAACGTCTAATTAATGCGTAAAACTGACTCATGAAGTTCCTCATGTCCTACAGAGTCCTATAGAGAGCATTAGATGAAGATAAGCTTCGATTGTACATGTGAATAAAAAGGGAGAAATTTTTAACTAGGCAATGTTCAGACATCAAACATTACTACTTCTTACTGTTAATCGCATATTGCATTCATATTGTTAATCGCATATGCTGACGTAAATTATGTGTTCACCAATGAAGAAATTACTGGATTTCATTTGACTGTCATAATCTATTTGAATAGCAGTTAATCTGACATGACAATGTGACGTGCAGTAAACGTGAATGCTATACCTTAATAAATTAATTAATGTGAAATTATTAAACGGCTATCGCAACTATTAATTTGTTGTCAAGGAACATGATAATGTGTTAACACGTCAAAAGCAATTAGCAAAAGAAAAGTATGTTCAAAGCAGCAAGTAGGCCGGAGCAAGAACTGTTTAATAGAGTGTGATAATGAAAAATAAAAAAAACAGTAAAGATGAATTAATAACACGCAATCAAAGAGATCCGTGAAAGCGGTCACGGTGCGTCGACGTGCGGTATGTGACGGTTATATATTTTTTTGTTTTCGTTTGCGTCTTCGTGACGAATTGATTCCGTGTTTTATTAGGCGTTCAGATGCTAATTGTCCGTTTGTTCGTCGCTCGTGCATGGAGTGATGGTTTTTGTTTGAGTCTTTTGAATTCTCAATCGTTGGAAATGGCATTTCTTCACAAAGTTCGTAAATAGTTGACTTTTGTAGATCCGTTATTACTTTCGTGTTATTCTTAATTGTTAATAACGTTTGTCTTAACTAATACCGCACGCGTTTTACGTTTTCCATGTAGGACCTTTCCTACTCGATTTCGTAAGAGAAAATGTTTTTCCTCAAAGAAATCAGTGATACCAACATATGTTTTCCGTTTAGTTATTTAAGGCGGGAAGTCTGCAAACCCCTGTTTTCGTTATAGGTTAAGTAGTTAAGTAAATAAATGTTGCTAGACAAATTTTGATTGCGCCATAGATTTCTTTCAACAGAGTTTCTACGATTAACCCTGAACTCTCGGGTGTAGCAGATGTTCATGGGCGGCGGTATTCACTTAACATCAGGTGAACAGTATCAAATCCGGATTAAAACTACATCTTATTTTAAAGTACTCATTAAATAAAAATTTCATTACATTTATCAAACTCACTGAGCCTTCAAAACATATAGAGGCTGAGTGAATGAGGTTAACAAGTTTATGGAATATTACACTGGCACAGGTGTTTTCTGTTTGAGTTTGTGTTGCATCTAGATAGACATCCACCTTTGACCTTATAATCACTTCGACCACTAGTCTATTTAATTATTAATTAAATAACCATTAAATAATCTTCTATGCTATATTATATTTCATATACCAAAATATATTTTTTAGAAACATTCTTTATATACTGTTTTTTTTTTCTTTCTATTTTTACTGTATTTTAGTTTACTGTTTGTATTATTATAATGTTAGTATGTCACCTTTAGTTTTGTAACAATTTTTGGTTGTGTTTGTAAAAAAATGTCCATTAACAGCCGACATACGTCCCAGCGCTGCTCAAACGTCTCTGTCCAGGGGTATTAGCGAATAGGACTTTACATATATTTGAAATATTTTTTATTATTATTCGGAAACGTGCGAGTTTCCTGACGATGTTTTTCTTCACCGCTGAGCATGTGTTACCGGGATTTGAAGTCAGATAGGTCGAGTATATAGAATTGAAAGCGAACGCCTGGACACTGAGCTATTGACACTATCTAGCCTGCACGATGCGGCATTGTGTTTAAGCAGATGCCTATTATTGTGGACTATCTAATACAATATCATTACAATAATATTAACAAAAGTTTAGAAAGAAAGGCTCAAGCAATGTCGTGAGGGCAATGAACTTTTCCACCTTCTAATAAGTTGGCCTTGTACGAGGTGAAAATGATCGTCTGAGAAAGAATCCCTGACAATAGTCTTGACTTCCGACAAGCTCATTTATTGAGAAAATTTTTCGAATGCTAACTTAAAGTAGTGAGCGTTTAATTATCAGGATCAAAATTTTAGGAATTCTAATTAGTTCTGGGTAAAACTATGTCATAAAAATAAATAAAAATGTTTGGATTAAGTCAAACTCCACTAGTTTCAAACATTGACATTATAATAAATAATTGAAAATTCTGAAAGTAATTTACTTGATTTAGATTTTTTAATAACAATGATTAATATTATAAATCTTTTACCATTATATAATTTACGTTTTATAATGTGTAGCTATTTGAATCAATGTTCATACTTTTTATTGTTAGTAACACATCATGAATAATGATTGCAATATTTTTTGGCCACCGTCTATCGTAATCTCACATTAACCCCATTATCATTATGTCATTGTTGCTTTTGGTATACCATTACAGTTAATTGTATCGTGTGATTTGGGTACCAATAAGCCACATACATACTTTACTATGTTTATGTGATATCAAGTCAATATTACTAGGTGAGTAGAATAGCTTAAAGGAATGACATTGCTTCAATCGTATTTTGTCACAACAAAATCTAATGATGAACCTGAATCCTTCTAGATACGATTGTTAAAACTTAATAGGTCAGAAATTTAAGAACTAGTCATTACTAAGAGAATTGTAATGTTAAGAAGATTGTTGATTATTTTAAGACATGATTTTCCAACCGCATGATATATAAATATATCTAGTATTGCCATTAAATTTTGTCATTCCTAAATTAGTTACAAGTATAATTCCTTTATATTTTTTTTTACCTTTTCGCAAACTACCCAAAATTTCTCAAGACAAAAACGGTGTGTATAAAAGTATTATCAATAATAATAAATAGATCTGCGGAACAGTTTCGAATGTTTGAAGTATGACCGTATTTAAACTGTGAAAAAAAATTATAAAACACTGTACATTTTCATTTTTTTTATAAAAATTATTAACTACCAATAGCTATCGTCTACGTCGAGATATAATAATTAAACCTTCATATTACCTGGATGGTATGAGTTTGCATGAATCCAACGATTTTGTCCAAAATGAGGCTGTCCAATGAGTTCTCATCAAGACTTCTTGGCATCGCCTCCTCAACTTCCACATTTTCGACTGCATTTTTGTCTTTCGAAATGGTCACGCCGTTAAGGAGAACAATCTCGTCACTCTTCGATATTTTAGTGAGAGCTTTCGCCAATTTCAGTTTCAGACAGTTACCGACCTCGCCCTCACTGCAGTCTTTGTAAGTTTCGTATACGGCTTTCAGGTCGCCTAAAACGGTGTCTTCAGAACTTCTGCCCTCGTCCAGCTTGTTCTGATTGGTTGAAGCCGTTCTGCCGCTGACGGCGGCAGCCAACGTAAGGACCAGGAGGTAATGTGGTACCATATTGTCTTCGTTCGCACTTCGTTGGCTCTATTGGCACTCTGTTTAAAACTAGAACAGTCTTTGCGTTTATATGCGCTTATTTTCACGGTACAGTGGTCGTTACTGCCAGGGATGCATCGATGCATCTATGCAGTTTAATGCAATGTCTAAGAAAAAACTTCTTATTTGAGGAAAGATAAATTTATTATAGTTTCATTATAAGGCATTTAAACTTCATAGTAATTTTGTAATAACCTTTTACCAAGATTAGCATAATCTAAAATTAGGATATATTTATAAAAAGTGTAATAAAAGGCGGGGATATATGAAAGCGCAATATGTTAATTTACGAATTAATTATCGCAATATTCAAAACTACAGTCATAGATACTTACAGTAGATAAGTACAGACATATCAACATATTTAAAGATATATTGTATCATAAAAATGAGGAATATTGTAAAAGATCGTTAAGTTTTTTTTTTTGGTTAGAGTGGTTTCAAGTTTATAAACTGTTATAAATAATTAACATTCAAACATTTACATTAAAGTAATATAAAAAAGTTTTAAGCATTCATATTATCAATACTAACAATGGTTAAGTATCGATGTCATCTTTTTTATCCACCTCAGTACACTACAATATGACGCTTAGTGAACATTAAAACCTAGACAGAGTACCGTTAATAGTTGCGTTATAAAATAACAGGAACCAATACACATTGGTACGGTAACAGAATACGTGTTAAACGCACTGGGAATTATAATTAGCAAGAATGACAACTTTTGATAATATATGAATACGTAACCATCCATCGAAATTACATTAAATGTTTCACTTATGAAATCCTTCTCCCTTAACTCCCTTGTCCAATGTATTACTGATTTAAACATAATTGCTGAATGCTGTTAACCAAATCGTTATTACTCATCCATTTTTTTTAACGGTATTAAAAAAAAAAGCTTTACTATTTCAGTTAAATATGACAGTTTTTGATTTAAAAAAGCGATTATTGTATTATTTGTAAAGATATAGAAATTAAAGCTTAAATTAATAGAACACATTCGCAGAAAATCCAAAGACCCCTCCCAGATCATTGCGATCAAATATTTTACATTAGCAAGTTAAATGAAGAAAAAACAGATAAGAGTCTGGTGGATTGAGGCTCATATGTATAGGCAAGATACTATTTTTGTTTTAAGCACAAATTGTGTCTCAGCTTAAATATGTTTAAAGACAACTAGCAGCGTGCAGGTTCAGGCCGGAGGTGACGGAGGCTATAGCTTTTGATCTTAGGGCAATTCGAACCATTGCCAACTACAACCGATCCCAGGAGCTTGTCGAACTTTGACTTTATCTATTTATCAGCAGCTATTTAAGTCCCTTTATCCATTCAGCAAACTGTTTTTAAGCAAGTATATTTTAGACTTTGGCGCAAACGTGAATACACAAAGTCAGGACTATGAATAAACACCAATTACCATATAGCGTTAGAATCACGCTGCATTTTGCAACTAGTTTCACTTTTAAGAAAATTTACTGCAAAAGTCGATCGATCTTCATTCATTCACTTACGATTGTAAAATACAACTATTATTTATGATATTGCTCCTTTTCATACTCACTTTATACGGTTACAAGGCATTTTTGCCAAAAATACTAAACAATTTTTTTAATAATAAATAATAAATATTTAGGACACATTTGTACACAACATTTTCTAGTCCCAAACTAAGCAAAGCTTGTACTATGGGTACTAGAAAACTGATAAACATACTTAAACATACTTTTCTTTTGTAAATAAATACATATTATACATATAGAAACACCCAGACACCAGAAAAACACCATGTTCATCACACAATATTTTTCCAGTAGTGGGGATCGAACCCACACCCTCTGGCCAGGAGGCAGGTACACTACCCACTACGCCATTCGATAAAGTTGTTGTCCTTTGATTTTTGGCCTTTTTCAAAATTCCTATTATAATAACATTTTTTTTTACAGAAAAATAAAAAGCGCTACGCTATTTATACAAGCTCATTATTTTATAAAAAAAACCAGAGATGGCTGTAAAGAGGACATATTTCATAATCTTCTTAATCGTTTCCTAACCCACTAAGTGATATACGTGACGGTGTGCAGAATGATCAAACACCATTTTCACTAGAGTTATTTAGGTTTCGTGGTCGACTGTGCCTAATACCCTCTGTACAGTGTAGGTCTTAGCCCAGCAATGGGTTATTTTAGGCTGTAGCTTTATTTTAATTTTGAACCCTCCCAGCAAGTTGATATCACTAAAACCTAGTCAGAGGTCATACGTAACTAATACAAAGATCACAGAAAATAGAAACACAAAGTATTAATAAACATTTTTAAAAATGCAAATACTTTGTATTTCTATATTTATCACTACAGTGGTAATCATAGTTGATATTAATTATAATAGATAATTTGTAATTAAAAATAAATAAACACGAGCGAAGGCAGCAGAAGTGTTTTATCAAATTATGATGCATTCTTTTCGAATTTTATTATAGTTAGACAGTTGAAATTTTCATAAATTATATACTTCTGTTGCCGCTATAACAACAAATACTAAAAAAAACAGAATAAAAAAATATTTAACACAACGGACATGACTTTTGTCGTTTTTATAGATAATGGTACGGAACCCTTCGTGCGCGAGTCCGATTCGATCTTGGCCGGTTTTTTAGGTACAGGGAAAAAAAAGGGTGCCAAGACTGTGTTGTAAGGTGAATGAATGATTGAGTGGAAACCATACACAAGCGAATATCAATCTTGGCAACGCGCCGTGAACCGGCGCATTGTCATCATAGATCATGACATCTGCGGTCATGGACTTGATTTTTGTCGTTTTTATAGATAATGGTACGGAACGAAGAGTGCATTAGACCGATTCGCACTTGGCTGGTTTTTTAGCTACAGGGACAAAAGGGGTGCCAAGTCTGGGCTGTAATGCAACGCGCCGAGAGCCGGCGCATCAAGATCATGACATCTGCGGTCAATTTCCTCGCCTTTTTTCTTTAATGGCTTCCTTCAAATGACGCATAGTGGTTGCGTAAGCTGCTGCAGTTATACTTTGGCCTTTATAATTATAATATACAAAAGCGAAGTCCCTTTCGTGATCCAAAATTGAACTTCATCGGCACTTTTTACGCACGGGTTTACTCTTTATTCTTAGCATCGTAGTGATAGACCCAGGTTTCGTCTCTGGTAAAGAAACACTGGAAAGATATGTACCGCAAAGCTTCAAAAACACTTTATTACATAAGATTCGCGCTTGTTTTTTTTGTTGGTGTGAGCATTTGTAGCACCTATATTACACTGCCTTGAGGGATTCAAAAAGAGTTATTTCATCTTGGTAATTTCTGCTAACGAATTTATCTTCATTGAAGCATCTTCGAGTATTAGTTTCTTGACATTCACGTTTTCTTCCGTGGCGAGTGTCCGTTTTAAATTCAATTAACCATTTTTTAATGGCTGGTAACAAGGAAGTGAAATCCTTGTAAAAGGCCACCATCTCCTCGTGGGCGTTTTTTTTTTGGCGTAATTTCTTGTTTCGTCAGGAAGTTAATAACAGCACGGTGCTAGATTTTGATCAATATTTTCGCATCACACATTTTCTTGCGCTCAAAGCACGGTTTCTGAAAGAACTTATGATACTAAACTGACTAAATTTTCTAAATGTTACTTTGGATAGCTTTATAAGAGAACCATAGACAAAGAACACGTGGTCATTACTAACAAAAAAGTGCAATACCGAAAATACTGTGGTAGGGCCACGCAGCAGCTTCGGCAGTTGCGCGAATGGGCAGCCTCGTCCGGGCAAGTACCACGGCCTCACAGAAGACGCGCGTAAAGTGGAAGTATAATACTTTCGCGATTCGCCTGGTGATTGAGGTGGCCAGAGCACAATTTTCAAAAGGTTGTCAACGCATACGCGGCCGTATTCACTTAACATCAGGTGAACCGTCTGCTCTCGTGAAAACTTTTCACATTAAAAAAGAAATACTTTGAACAGGCATCATCACGTTTTTACATTATGTCTATTTTAAATATTTTTTTTCAAAAGTAACATAAAAAATATTTTAGTAGCATCAACGAAGCGCATATTCTTAAACAAATCGCTTGTCGCTTTCTCGTTTTATGGTATTGTTTAATTGAGCATGAGCATTATGGAATACTTTTTTATCAATATATATATATATATATATTGTTCATGTTTCTAACGCCTACATCGCGTTAAGTTTCGGTGGGTAAAATCTATCAAATCTGTCATCATCTTCATCACCCTCCTGTCCTTAGTCCACCTAGGTGGGGTCGGCACAATATGTGAATCATGTTTTAAGCGCTTCTGGCCATCTAACTGACGCAACCGTGTTTAGAAATCAAACACCCAGATCCCGAACAATTATCTGTGGGTCACACAAATAATTCTTCGAAAGATAAAGTTATAATATAATAGTTAATATGTCAATAAAAAAATTAAGAAATTAGGTACTTGTTGCGTCAAAAATTATTCTTTATGTTCCGCTATTTACTTGGACCACAAACGGAAACAAAAAAGAAATTAACAACGCGCAGTGACCACCGTTAACAAGTCGAGTAACAAAAGTTGTGTACACAAAAATGAATGGACGATTCACTAAGCCTACTCATAACACAACGTTAGTTTCTAGACGATATATTGTGTAATTAATTTGAAAGTCCCTTTATGTAAGCATTTTTCTATAAAAAGGCGTGCGAATAAATTTGCAAATTGAATGCTTATTAGGTGGCCCAATTCCATTCCCTTTTGCACTAACTTATGCATTAAATATTACACATTTATTTAATAATTGTTTCGAATGCATTATATGTAAGTTAATTGATAAAATTAAACGCGATAAAATCTTTGTAGTACTTGATTCAAATACGTATTGCGTAAGATTAAGACATTCATGATTAGTTTCCCAAAAGTTACAAGAACAATTATTACTATGCTATTGTGCTACTTGTATTTTGGATACGTAAATAAAAGTATGTACGTACAAAAGATACAAAACTAAAAGTTTTATCCCCAGTGCTTGTACTCCTTGTTTGTGAAAAAGACATTAAATTCAAATGATAAAGGTTTAATGACTTGTAATTAATAATTATATATAAACGGTAAAAAAAACCGGCTAAGTACAAGTCGGGTTCGCACACGAAGGATTCCGTATCATTATCTATAAGACAGCAAAAAAATCATGTCTGTTGTATGGGAACTCCATTTAATTTTTTTTATTCTGTTTTTTATCATCATCTTATATTTTGTTCCAAACGCGGCACAAAGGTATACGTTAAAAAACGATTTACATTTAACCCCAATGTTATCAATGTCGTTTATTATTCTGCTGCAAAATAAAAGCCACGATTCCTTTTCATACAAATTACAGTTTCATACCACCTGTCGCTGATCTTCTGAACAATTATTTTACATAAACTTTCTCAGATTACTATTTAGTTCAAATAATAGCAAAAGAGTAGTGTCTATCCATGTCGCTAGGTCTACTATTATTACAGATATTAAATGAAGTTAGGTACAGTTCTTTACATTATATTGAGTGTATGATATTGCTAACCGTTTAAAGGCCATGTTTGAGTTTGATGTTGTACAATGTAGTAAAAAAGGAAAGTGTTTGGATTATTTATTAGGTAGAAAAATATATTTTAAGTTACTATGATCGTTATACAATAAAGATTGTCAATATAAACACAAAATCAGTACCGCCTACTACCGCCAAAAAGTTCTATCAATGCTCATTATATTGAATTCCAAAAAAAAAAATCGAAAACAAAACACTGTGCCCAAATGGTTGATGAGTCACTTAGCTACGACCAGCAACAATGCCGAGTGTTATGTAAAATTTACCTGCATTTCATTGAACGGTACACGTAACTTGACGTCAGAAAGAAGAATTTGTGCCGTACACACCCGTGGCATCCTTTCGGAAATTCAATAAAACGCCTCGAGTTTCTCCCCACACTAGTCCATATGTCCGGTTCATGTCCACTTTTCTTTTTATATCGCACAAGATTAACAACAAAACTTGTAAAAACGGTCCCACATACAAATATGAACTCTAATATATTAAGTTAAGGAGATGAATAGGTTTCTATTAGTTTTAATATTAAGTTGTATTAACACACGAGTTTGCAGAAAAAAGCAAGCTAATATACGCTTTATTACCATCTATCTCGACTCATTCATCAGAACGCTCCGAAAACAGTGACAAACGTAAAACTGAACCAGTCAAACGACGTTTTTTCACAAGCAAAGAAAATTCCGTTTCAATTTCATTCTGTTATTATTTAGATAATTCGAAAATACCCGAAATATTAATTGAGAAACAGGGAGAGACGGAGATATTACATAATACATATGAGGCACAGAAAGCTCATGCGCCTCTGGCGACTGTAGCGAAAGCTTTCGTCGGTGGATAATATACGGAACCCGGATAAGGTCATGGAATGGAAAGGCTGATTATACTGTGCAAATTGATGGCAGTATCCGAAAACTTAGTTCAATTACTTGTTGATGCAGCACTGCAGTGAACTGACGTTATTTTTATATATTTATTTTATTTATGTTTTATTTCTAACCTTAAAAAAAGGGCGGACTTAATGCCCAAAGGCATTCTCTACGAGTCAACGCAGGGTGTAGTGAAAATGTATGGTAGGTGCAGCAAGGGATGTTGTAGTAGATAGTCTAAAATAATCACTAAAAACTAAAAACACAAATAACAAGCTGTTGTTTTCAATTATTACACATTTACAATAGAGTCCAAGATATAGATCCTTGATTCTCCATTCTTAATTTTGTTATATGTATATATTTTATATTATATTTAGGATCTAAATTTTATCAGTTATCTTAGTTTGACCATTTAATTGAATAGTTTCCTGTTCGTTTAAGAAAATAATCAGTTACATAATAATCAGTTAACAATCCTTTAAGCTAATCTCTTAAGGATTAGAATAGAAACCTAAGAAAATTACCAACCTTTTGGTCCTGGTCAAGAATGTAGAACACATTTTACGTATAAAAAGCGTTTAGATATAAAATTTACAACATTTTCTACCTTATGAAAATAAATTATTTACATCTCGTCAAAGTACCTCCAAAATACTTCCAATTGATATGTAGCGTATATAATACATATTTACTATGTTGTTGGGATATAAATACGAGTAAATAGTTTCTACGTATGATCTTGTCGTAAGATGTCAATTTTTGAACAGATCTAAGTAATTACTAAAAATCTATTTACTTTATTATTATCCGCCCGGATATCATGTGGGTGTTAAGCATCGTTGTAAAGACGGGAAAACGTTACGTCAGGCAAACAAAACTTTTACTAAACCGAACCGGACGTATAAGAAAAAATAAAACGTGTGGTACTTTCACTTCTTGAAGTTCGTTCATACCCAAATGCGATATCAAACAGCGGGGAACCATTCAAATTTGGATTTTATTGAAGAAGACGTAGAAATAGTTTTGCTTTGTCTCTTTACTAATCGTTGTGTCTCCGTGTCCAAGATCACATGAACAGGTTCCGCGACAATGAAGAGGTCAGAGGCCCTCTACTACCTGGCCTCAGCATTCGACATGTCCTATTTTAGATTTTAGTCTAGCGTTGTTGTATTAGCAATCCTACCTAAGGTTCGGACGCTAGATTTTGGGCTGTTTGGGTAAATTTTTGAAAAATATTTTGTACTGTGTAAATATAGGATATATATTTATATTATGAGTCCTTTTGAAATATCATTCAAATTCGTTGCGGCGCTAAGATGTACAAACACACTTGTACGATTTCTTTACTTTCTTAAAAGTTTTCAAGTGATCTGGATCTGAGAGCTATCAGCTACCATATTGTTCATATTTGTTATATGAACATATTTGAATTCATAGCTTTTGCTATTTCAGTTATTGTACGATTAAATATTTAATCTGTAGAGAGAATAATACAGTAACCTAGTATTGTTAAATTATTAAATATGTATTAACTTATTCATAATTTACGAATCCTTGCAAGGGAATTCAGATTCAGTATACTTTTGAAAAAATTATTAAAACCCAAGAACCTAAAATATATCAAAACAGGGAAGCACTTGAAATTATTTGATATTGAAATCAATGGCGACAACAAATAAATGACAAAATATAATAATGGTGGAATAAGAAACATACGTTTAAAACATGTACGTACATTAGGCAAAATACACGTAAACGCCAAACGATAAAATAATTTCACCAAAGTCTCAAATAAATTAAAAAGTAACATTTATTCCTACCTCCTTACCTAACTTTTAACAAAATTTTGAATTAGATTCAGAAATTAAAAATATGTTAAATTAACAACCTCAATGCTAAAATAAGTGCTCGTATCAGTGTGCGTTTAATTAATCCAAATGCTTAAACAAGTACAAATCACTATATGTTGAACACGATTTAATTAAATCTCAATGATTCAATTTACAAAAATTACGCTATGTCATTACGCAAAAGACGTTGCATCACAACACATTCGCGGCATGCAAATCGCAGATCGCTCTCACAGATTGCCTCGCAAATTATCCAAGCCCAATTTTCACCCTATTGTTGGTTCAGACGTGGGAATAGCCCGTGACGGGCTTCGGAAAACAATAGCGGAATCCAACCAAACATAACAAGGAAAGCCTATAAAACGGGGCACTCTTTACAATAGCCTTATACGTAATGCTAAAGTTCAGTAAGGTGGCACTGTCAAAGACATTTTTATAAAGCCCAATAATCACATGTAAGGAATTTATCTGAAATGTAAATAGTCAGTTATAAGTGCGATTTACAAATTTGCAATGGCTATAACTAAAACATTTTTGCTTTTAATTACTTTATTGATGGCGGAAGTGATATCCGTTCAAATTCAGCTTCAAGAGGGAGAGGAATTGGATGATAATAAACTTCAAAACTCCCAACTGAATGAGTGCTTAAGTGTGAAAAGAGGTGCTGAAATAGGAGTGTGTTTTGGTAAAGAATTACTAAATAATCTAAATCAGTACGATGAAGCAGAATCATTTAGTTTGACAACAGGTGTCTCGTTTGTGAGAGATGAGAAAACACCGAGGGAATTCGGAAACTTCCTCGACAAGGATCCCATGGATTATAGGTCCGTAAATCTTCATTATTTAGTTTTAGTGTTAGATATGGTAGATCATTTTATCAAACTAATTAATTCATGTTAATATGATGGTACAACATATATTAGAAAGTATTTATGTAAAATAATACCGCGTCCGCATTACATAAGTAAATGACGTTGATTTCACGTTAGGCTACTTGACATATTTCTTTCATATTGTTTTTATTTTATGTGGACATTGCAAAAACTTATTTTATTTAAATATTTTGCCAATATACAGGACATAAAATCTTTTGATTTTTCACTAACATCAAAAGCAGTCGATAAAAGTTAGGCTCACAAACAAAATTATACATATTTAAACGTACGTACTTTTAGTCCATAATATCTGTCAAGAGTGTGTCATGCATATTAAAAAAAATTTTTCAATGTTAAGCATCCACGTAAATACATCGACTCATGATAAAAAGCGCCTTATTTAATGGGTATTTTTCTACATCGTATTATGGCCTTGCCACGCTAGGGGACAGACATTAAACGGTATGTGGTTTTTCTTTCAGATCGATAATGGAAGACGCAAGCGATCTAATTTCAAAGCGATCCTTACATTGGGATATGAGTTCCCTTTACCCTGGACTTGTAATGAGAATTGGGCCTACTCTGGCAAATGGTGTTCTAGAATTTGTGGTGGATCCCAAAGTAAAGGATAGAACTTACCAGAATAGCGGTGAAATAACTACAGGTAAAATATTACGCTATATTTTTCTAATACTAATACGGTATTAAATATGATAATGATGGCGATTTATTTCATTTACAATAATTAGAAATTCTTAACTCTTTGTGTAAATCAAAATGGTCCCAGCGCCATCTGTCTGCAATTCTTGAGACTATATAACCAGTAACTGTTCAAGGTTTCCGTAACATTAAACTTGACATTTAAGCGCCATCTATTACAAAACGTCTTATTTTCTAAATTATGAAGGCGAATGAATGAAAATTTGAAATTACTCCTGATTTTTTATATAGGGATTTATATAGGGAAGGACATTTTGATATAGGGAAAATTAACTTTGCGACTCTGTAAAATATCTTTGTTCTTTTATTTTCAGGTCGTCTACTTGCTCGAAATCTTCTGGTGCCATTTCTCCTTGGAATCAAATTTCATATTTCTACTTTACTTCCCTTACTATTGGGGTTAGTTTTGATTGCCAGTAAAAAAGCTTTTCTGCTAGCGAAAATAGCGTTACTGGCTATAACAGTATTTAGTGGCAGTGCCGGTTATGGGGGACAATACTTTGGTGGACTTTCGAGTCCCTCACTTGCATCATATACATCACACGAAAATCTTGGACAGTATCAATCTCATCACAGTTCTGGAGGTAATTTTGATAAGTTCACATTTTATGACATAGTAAATAATAATAAGCACAAATTAGTGCGAACTAGTGGTTTATTTTACCAGGAAATTGACGTAGATTTACTAAGTTAAGGGGAGTGAAAAAAATAGCAACAAATGAAAATAAAAAGACATACCATAATTTAAAATGCTATTTCTCATCATAATATCTGTGATGATTCCATCTTTTTCAAGATTTCCACAAGGCATGAGAATTAATCTGCCCTATAGCTGTAAAAACCGATTTAAAAAGCAGTAATCGGCTATAGTTATATAATTTACATTGGTGCTAATTGAGCGGTAAAATAAGCATCATATGCCATATTTTTATTATAATTATTACGCAAATATAATCGCTTACTTTGAAGTCCCCCTAATTTAACCATCACAGGTCGGTTGACGTCTTGCCGGTGCACCATAACCAAACCCTACCCTAATCCCTATGGAAACACATATTCTTAAAACTTAAAAGAAGTAAGTGTTTACTTAATATTAGATGAGTGAGGAGAGAGTTTTTGATTATGTATCTTAGGATTTTTGTTATTTGTAACCATTAGACCCAACATGATTAACATGCTTATTGATAAAGATAATTGGTATATGTTATCTCAAATACCAATTCAGCTTATGAACGGTAACTGCATTATCTTATATTACAACTTAACGGGCTCGTCAGCATAAGGATATAATATCCTCAATTTTTCTGTTGTGACGTTATTTGGAATCATCATTACAACCACGCAATAAAGCTTAATAAAAATTCAATGACTTTTATTCCCAGGTTACTACCGCAGACATCCTCATTACGACGATCATTACTACAAAGAGAAATCTGCAGAACAGACAACAGCTTCGCCAATTACACCAGACGAGCTTAGAGATAGATTGGAGAGGCTTTTTATAACTAAGAAAGGAATGGAGGAGAGAGATCCGAGAGATGAAACAAAGATTAGGAATGCGAGAAACTTCGCTTGGACGCCCCTAACAACAGGATGAATTTTGCGACTGAATACACATTATACTAGTAATTATCTCGTAACATGGAAGATTGATTATCATAAAAGTGAAACAAACATAAATTTATAACTAAAATTATTCTGTTGGTTAAGTAAATTCTGTTTATCTGCCACTAATGTTTAATATTTGCCTGCAATTGCAAGTTTTTTTTCTTCAAATATATGGAGTATGTTTGATCTAGTCAAAAAGATTACACAAAATTTTGAAGGTGTGATGATCGTTGTTTTTCTGTACTTTCGTAAATTATGTTTGTCACCCTTGTAGCGAAATACATTGTCAAAAGACAGCTTTTAATAATTTCGAAAAAGACCTTTTTTTTAAATCCTTCTTCCTTTACTTCTTTCAAGCTAATGCAATGGTTATACACACGTTTTGCCGAGCTTATTTCTATACAATTAAAAAAAGTTCGTGCTGCACTATGGACCGACAGCCTAGGCATAAACATGATCTGAAATTACTAAAGCTGATTTTTTGCCAGTTGTAGTGCTAGTTTTAGTACTTATGTACATACCCTGTAGACCGACCTGTAGAACAGACGCCACATATTATCTAACGTGTTATCATTGAGTTGGTAATGAAACGAATTAACTAAGGTGTAAACTGTTATACAGATCATATATTACATATTTTAAACGCGAGAATAGAGCTCGTCAGTCAGCCCCAATATATGTACAATAAACAAATAACGTGAATATTTTTTTTACACTCTTTATTGATCTAATATTTACAAGATTAAATCTATCTAAAATTACATAATATTATCTAATAAACCTAATCCACGCGGCATGGTGCCAAAAATGCTAGCTGCATTTCCTCGCTGAATAGTTATAATAATAATAATAACGGCCTCGTGGATCGAAAACTGCCGTACTACAAGTACTATCCGAAAGCCGTGCTCGAAAATGACCGACTCTATTGGGACCGGTCCATCATCACGGACAGGACGATTGTCCCGAACAAACCTGATATCGTGTTGATGGACCGGGCACAGTCGCGGGTATTTTTGTTCGACATTACCATTCCATATGACGACAACCTCGTGAAAGCCGAAACAGATAAGAATACGAAGTACCTGGACCTGGCTCACGAGGTGACCGACATGTGGGGTGGTGTGCCGACGGAAATTATCCCAATAGTCGTATCTGCGAATGGGTTGATCCCAGTCAGCCTCTCCGGACATCTGAGGCGACTGGGACTCCGGGACGGAACGCTCCAATGCAGAAAGCGGTGGTCCTCGATACCGCCCGCATCGTCCGCCGGTTTCTGCCCCTGCCGAGGGCTTCCGTCTGGTTGGGTCCTTATGGATATAAATAAACATATATATATATATATATATATATATATATATATATATATATATATATATATGTTTATTTCTATGGTGCCGGTGCAATTGGCACAGCACACGTCACGAGCCCCATATTGAGCGACAGACACCCCCATGTCTGCCGCTCAGTCTCACTATCAGGGGAAAAGTTGCGCGCGTAGGCCAGCCTCCTGCGCCCTGGTCTCTGGCGGCGGATTTCCAGGGTGGCAGTTGCCTCCCTTTCTCTCCTCCTCCGGCCTACTTCCGGGTGATTACGTCTTGCTGTCAACCATAGTGCGAACCACGAGCGAGAGGTCGTGCCCCACGATAGCGCATAGCTCTCGGCGCTGCTCCGTCCCGGCTGAGCACTCCTTCAGTGCATGTTGGGCCGTCTCCTCGGCAAATACGTCACAGTGGTGACATACCGCTGTGGGCTCCCTCCTCGCCACGCGAAACAGGTACCGCCCGAAACAGCCATGTCCTGAGAGGATCTGCGTCGCACGGTAGGTGAGGGTGGCGTGTCGCCTGTCCAGCCACTTCCTGAGGGCAGGACGTATGGCCTCTACGGTTCTTAGGCCGGCACTGGGTTGTTCCAGCCTCTGCTCCCACTCCCCGATGGCATTTGAGCGCAGGCAATCCCTGCGCTCCCCTAACTCCTCCGGGGCCGGCGTATGGCCCTGGGCTTTTGCAGCCTCGCACCAGGAGTGCAATAACGCGAGGATCTTAGCTTCCAGATCCTAGGGCAGAAAGCCGGCCAACAGGCAAGCCGCCTCACCGGAGATCGTCCGGTAGCCCCGTATGGCCCGAATAGCCAACACCCTCTGTGGTTTGCCAAAAGCGCTTGGGTCCGGCGCTTCAGGGTGTCAGCCCAAACGGGAGCTCCGTACAGGGCCATGGACCGCACGACTCCGGCGTATAGGCGACGGCAGGAGTCATTGGGGCCGCCAACGTTCGGGTCGCTGGATGAGCCTTTTTTTTTGTTGACGTGGGGGAAATGCCTACGCATACCCGCACTCGCGGGGGCAAGAGCGGGTTATGTCGGACTCGCACCGACTAAAACCCCCACGATGTTACACCTAGGCGCATATCGGCAGGGTCACGGGAACGCTTTCGCACACTTCCGTGACCCTGCCAGCGCTGGCCGCCTTAGCAGCCCCCTCACGGAAAGCAACTCCCCTCTCCTCCAGGTAAGGCGCGCTGGAACATTCAGCGCGCCTTCCTACTCGGCCCCATTTTCACGGCCAACGAACTCCCCCGAGTTCTCTGACCGGGGCCATGGGAGCCAGGAGAGCCAGTGCTAATAAGCAGCAAGCCTCCCAGCCCCCAGCGGCGGATCTGGTCTGTGGCTCCGCCGCTCACCACGTTTCGGCCGCGGAGGATAGGGAGAACGGCGCATCGCAATACCGACACTCCTCTCCCCCCGCGGCCCCACCACAGCTGCATCAGCGGTGCAGCCCCGCCGAGTCGCGGAGGATAGGGAGCACGGCCAACGCAATACCGACACTCCTCTTCCCCCGCGACTCCTCCTCGGTAGCAGAAGACAGGGAGAGTGGCTCCACCTCTACCACCCTCAACCTGTCCCCTGCACCCTCCAGCACGCATCCAGAGTGGGCTCATTGAGCCCACTCGGAGCAGCCCTCTCGGGCCGGCCTTACACCACAGGCTGGCCCAGTGTGGGTTCCTCTTAGCTTCGCCGTGGGGGACCAAGCCACGGCTACTAAGCCCCTCCGCCACGTCAAGGCGGGAACCCGGTCGGAGGGGTCGCCGGATGAGCCTGCCCATCAAACAGCAGAAACTGTTGCGTGGCGTAACCAGTATCCTATAACGCGCTTAACGCGGCCTCACTTTGCGGGCTGCCGCCGCGTATGGCATTATAGGTCAGCAGATTGGGATGGGATGCGGTCATTCTTTGCGTCCTACCCATGGGGGCAGATTTGCTTCTCGCCGGATGATCCAGACGTCTGACTGCTGACTCAGTGACTGATGTGGTGCTCCAAGGTATGGAACTCTTTATTCCGTTCTCTGCAGTGCCCATTGGTGGCAAGTCGCAGCCTTGGTTTGGTCGCTCCTGTAAGTTGGCATTACGCCGAAAGCGGGAATGCTACCAGGCTTGGGCTGACGCTTCGTCGTCTAGTGATGTAAAAACCAGCGCTTTAAAAAAGACGTATAACTCTGCCTCTAGGTCCTTCAAAAGTGTTATTGCTAAGGCGAAATCGGAACACATTGGCAGAATTGGCGAGAGATTGGCGCGTCTCCCAACGGGAACACGTGCGTTTTGGTCTCTCGCCAAAGCTGTCTTGGGAAATTTCTGTAAGCCTTCTTTTCCACCCCTGCACACGGAGGATGACTCGCTGGCGCATGCCGCGAAGGAGAAAGCCGATCTTCTGGGCTCTCTCTTCGCGTCCAACTCGACTTTGGATGACCGAGGAAAATTACCACCAACAATCCCGCGTTGCGATGCTACGATGCCGGAGGTTCAATTTCGGCAAAGTGCAGTTCGCAGAGCACTCTTTTCCTTGGACATTCATAAGTCGAGTGGGCCCGATGGCATCCCTCCGATCGTGTTGAAGACATGTGCTCCAGAGTTGGCACCGGTTTTGACGCGTCTTTTCCGGCTCTCCTATACTCTAGGCGTATTCCCAAAAACCTGGAAGGCCGCTTTAGTGCACCCGATCCCTAAGAAAGGCAACAGCTCGGATCCGTCCAACTACAGGCCTATAGCCATCACCTCCTTGCTCTCCAAGATAATGGAGACCATCATTAACTGCCAGCTCCTGCGGTACCTAGAGGAGCACCAGCTGATTAGCGACCGCCAGTACGGCTTTCGTCGAGGTCGCTCAGCCGGTGATCTTCTGGTTTACCTGACACACAGATGGGCAGAAGCAGTTGAGAGCAAGGGGGAGGCGCTTGCAGCCAGTCTGGACGTAGCGAAAGCCTTTGATCGGGTGTGGCACAAAGCACTTCTTTCGAAGCTGCCTTCCTATGGGCTTCCCGGGAAGTTATGCAACTGGATCACTAGCTTCTTGGCAGATCGGAGCATCAAGGTCGTCGTCGACGGTGCATGCTCTGATCCTAAATTTGTCAATGCTGGTGTTCCACAAGGCTGCGTACTGTCCCCCACTTTGTTTCTTCTGCATATCAATGATATGTTGCAAATCAGCAGCGTTCATTGCTATGCGGATGATAGCACTGTGGATGTTTCGTACACAGGCCGTGCTAACATTTCTCGGGAAAACGTCTACGAGAGCCGGAACAAACTTGTGTCTGAAGTCGAGACTTTGTTAACAAACGTCTCAGACTGGGGTCGACTAAATTTAGTCCAATTCAACCCCGATAAGACACAAGTTTGCGCGTTAACCGCTAAAAAGTCCCCATTTGTCGTGACTCCTCATTTTGAGAACACTCCCCTGTCTGTCACAGCTAGTATCGGAATACTTGGCGTCGAAATCTCGAGCAATGTCCAGTTCCGCGGTCAATTGGAAAGTAAGGCCAAATTGGCCTCAAAGAAGCTCGGTGTGCTCAGCAAGGCGAGACAGTACTTCACGTCGGCTCAACGCCTAAACCTTTATAAGGCGCAAATTCGGCCCCACATGGAGTACTGCTCTCACCTCTGGGCGGGAGCCCCCTGTTACCAGCTTCTTCCATTTGACCGCATCCAACGTACGGCAGC